TTGAAGTACCTGCACATTTCTGCAGCTTCATGGATGTGCTTTAGTGGATTGTTGAATCAGGCCTGATTCAACCGCTTATAACCTTGGTTAAAACAGTCAACTAACGTGCTTATCCCACTGTTCTGAATGTGTCCTGCCTGCCTACCAAAATCATAGTAGTACAAATTGAGTTTAAAGCAAAATAAATCATTCTGGGACAACTAGTCTCATTTTCTGTACTCATGTTTGGTTCACTGAAAGATTCTCTGCAATTTCCAGTGCATCTAGGAATTCTTTTGTAGAGCTTAATTTCAATGTGCTCTGCAGTATTTCACTGCAGACAGCTATAAAGACAGGGAAGCATTTAAAAAAAAATCTCTGTTTTAGATATTTACTCAGTGCTATTACTGGAGCTGTTGGGCAACTCACAGCCTTTAATATATTTATCCTCAATTATCTCTCAGAAGTTTGCATCTATTATTACTTCACCTGGGAAAATAGGGTATACAGAAAAGCAAAGACAGAAGTCAGACAGCCTGTCTGCCGCACAGCAGGTAATTGGACCCCTGGATGCCAAGCTGATGCTGTAATCACTGTACTGTATTCCTCAAATCTGTAATAATTAAAATGACTGACTAAGCCATTGGTTGGTGTGGTAGGCTCTAGCCATTACTTTTGGGAATACAAGAGTGGGAAGGTAATGAGCTAGTGAGAGACCTTTTCTGAGTCCTATAGTAGTTATTAACTATTAAGACAGAGTTTATTTTATTAAAAAGTTAAAGAACTTACTTTTGTGCACTGGTTTGATTTTTTATCACTACAAAGTCATGTTTTGATTCATCTCTATTTAAAAATAAAGCAAAACAAAGTAAAACAGGAGAGTGTTTAATCATATCATAAAAGTACGCTGGAATGCAATTAATAAAAATGTTTTATGCATGTGTATATGTACACATCTAACCTGCATATTAATCATTCTAACAATGTCTGTAGTTTGGATAACGTCTATTTTAGCAGGTGCTAAATATATAAAAAATGTGTGCCTTAATTGTTTACAGAAGAGTTTCTGTAAGGTCTTGAATAAAGCCTATGGAAAACATATGTCTGCTTTTGTGTGTGTGTGTGTGTGTGTGTGTATATAATCAGTAGTAATACTTTATGGTAGCCGAAGGATCTTAAAGTTTATTGCAGTCATTCTCTTAAAATCTTTGTGACTGCCAAGGATACCTGTAGTTTGCAAACAAAACACTCCAGCAACTGCAAAAGTAGAATTAATATTCTGGACATGCACAGTTTCTGTAGTTCAGGGTACATTCTAATATTCTCTTCCCTGTTCTGCCCGCAGTTTCTCCCTGGGCACTTTTTAAAAGGATGTAGGACTCATTCCCACGATACACTCCCCTCTTGGAGTGTCTCCCCAGGTCACAGCACTTGTGTTACCAGTCATGCTTCTTTCTTAGTTCTGTCTAGGTAAACTTGATTTTATGAGCTGTGATCTGCCTGTGTTCATGCAGGTACTGAGAATAGCCTTTCCAAAGTGAACATTTATTTATTTGTTAGGATAGAAAACTCTGTAGGAGAAAAGAATTGAAACAGCAAACAATAGTGTGTATGCAGCAGTTAAATTTGATGTGCTTTCTTGGCCATGTAATTTAACAGTTTCTTTTATCGTAATAGTTAAATATGATCTTTAGGTCTAGGGATTCACAAATGTTAGAGACTGATAATTAGAGGTTCATTGCACTAAGGTTACTTCAGTCCTTTCTGAGATATAGTTGTATTACTGAAGGGCTTCTCCATTCTCTTCTTTCTGCCTTATTTCTTTGCTTTCTTTTTCTCTTTCTTCAATTCTGGTAATTTCTGGAATATTATCTAATAGCAAGAAAAATTAAGAACACTTTCATGGGTCCTGGGAAATTCTCTGATGCAATCTGTATATCTCAACAAGGTTACTGAATGACTATTGCCAGCTAAACACTAATTTTGAAAGCTGTTTGTTTCCATTTCACCACATTTTAGATCAGAGAGTGAAAGAAGAGTATATTGGGTTCAAAACTCACTGGAAAAGCATAGTTGTGAGATTGCCTTCAAACCCTGAAATTTGCCACCTGACTTCCTGTCACAAATAAGGTGTAGTTTTGGAGATGTTTTTTGAGGTGTAATTTCAGTTCTTGACAGATGACTTCATCACATTTTCCTATTGTACATTAGGTCATGCAGGGTTTCATAACACTGTAATAACTGATGCAGCACTGGACCAGAGCAGCATTTTTAAAAGGATTGGTGATGTCCGTATTCCATATACATTATGTGCTTTTCAGATGTAATTCTCTTTAATGAAGTTCCCTTGGATCAGTCTGACTTTTGTAAAATTATCAATTTCCCTAGCACCAAGTAATTCCAAAAGAGAAGGTGGCAAAACACTTCTTACAATAGTTCCTGAGTGTAAACTAAACTGTCTACAGGTATCATCTCCTGAGGCAGGCTTTCTGAGTACCTGAGGAATTTGCATAAATGCATTGTCTTTTTAATTACCCAGAGCTGTAAAGAATAATTTCTTACTAAATACTGGTTTAACTCACAGGGCATTTGCTCGGGGATTTAGCTTAAAGGTGACCTGCAAAGCTTTCTCTATCAGATAATAAACAAATCTTGAAATATCTGCAATTTTATTCTCTTAAACTTAAAACACAAGGTATTCAGTGCTACTTGCTCCTTTTTAAGAACAGCATGCTGTGAGCTTAATTCCCCTTTGAAATGTGAAAATGGGGCTGTAGGTAAACATATTTTTCCAAAATAAAGTGCATTCCCAAATATTCAAGGCAATAAGCCTAGCTCTGTTAATGTTGCACTTGTTGGATACTTGATGTATTCATTAGAAATCTTGTGGTGGTGGTGGTGTTTTTCCAAGGATTTGTTATTTCTAATTTTAACCCACATGGGGTCGAAACTTTGCAAAAGTCCACTCAGAGGCACACGAGTTTTTGAAGGAGCAGTAGTATGATAGATAATTTCTAATTGGATGACTCCAAGTTCAAGTTCTAATCATGTCTTTGGGTAAACACTGCATCTTCTACAGGTAATTACATAAGCTGTGGTTCAGGTACACCTGTTTCTCTGAGAGAGAAGGATTGAGACTCTAGTTACTAACTTGAAGCTTTCCGTTTGATACTTAGATACATGGGCATACACACTTTATACTACAATGCATTGCTGGTGTTTTAATTCTATTTTGAAGTAGCTCAGTGTTTAGAGTTTCTGTATATGACTTACGATATCATAGTAAAGGAGCATTTGTGTGGAGGGGCATATATGAGTTATTAACATTATGGAAATTAAGCTGTTTTTCCAGTTCTTTACTTTTTTAGATCTGATGTCTTTCTTTCAGGTGCCTGTAGCTTTTGAATTAAAAATTGGCCCTAGGGAAGTCAATCATAAATATTCATTCACTTTAAAGTTGCAAGTATTTCACCTGCATATGTTCTTTTTCTTGTATTTACAAGTTTTCAATGTGCTTGCAGTCTCGGAAAGAGAATTGCAGAGCTAGATATGTTGAAAGATATTTAGCTTTGCTCCTATTGAATATTATGCTACTTTAGCATTGAATGAAAAAAGGAGTAGGCATGTGTGGTGTAATGGTCTCAGTATTGAACTGTGGTGACTATCTGAACTGTGTTCATGCCGTCATTGACAAGTGTAACACAACTAAAACCTAAGAGATGCATCTCACATTCATCTATTGGAAGTGCCATTGCTGTGCTTTTTTAAAATGCTTTTTATAGCCTACAACCTCATTCAAGGAAGTATTGAATAGAGGTGTTCTACAAGAACTATTTTGGAAATAGCTGAGAACTGTTTTTGTTACACTTTTATACATTTAATACATGGAAAAAAATATAAAAGTAAAAGCCCTCCAATAAAGATCTACCAGGAATACCCTTATAAGCAGCCTTGTTTCCATTTCAGTCACTCATCCCTTCTAAATGGCCTGCAGTAGCTGGTATTTGTAAGGACAACAGATCTCCTTCCTGTTGTGCCAACATATTAGATTTTGCATTACTAGTTTTAGGAATATCATCTACCTGTCAAGCAAAAACGTACTCATAAATGAAGCTACCTCTTCTGGTACTTGGAAACAGATTCAATATGAAGCTGAACATGGACTTTAGCCCTGTCTTTCCCCATTAATTCTCTTTTAGAGTGACAGTCTTCGTGCCCTGTGTATTTACATAACAAGTAGAAAGGTCGATGCAACTGCAAAGTAAAATCCAATGTAATTTTTTTTAAACATATTTAAAGTGCTTTGAAATTTTCCTTTCATGATTGCTCTTCCTTGTTTTGAGCCGTAGGGCAGAGAGAGTCCAATAAACACTTATAGTACCTACGCTTATGATGGTTTGTTTACCTAGGCTTAAGTTTTGTATAAAATTTTCTGTGTTTCAATCATGTTCATCAAATTCTTCAAATTATTTTGTGTAGGCTGTTTGCATTACTTTGTTTTTAATTTGTTCTGGAATATTTTTGGTTCTATGTCCTGAATCTGAATCTCTAAGAAAATGTGTTCAAAGTATTGTATGCAATTTCTGTAGAACTTATCCTAAATCTTCTTTCCTGACCACTTGTTTTTTGTTCTTTTTTTGTTTTGTTTATTTGTTTGTTTTTTATTTAGGGATTTTGTATGCTTGATGGAGATGGAAAAAGATGAAAACCAAGCTGGTTTCCTGAAGAAAGGTGAAGAAGATAAATATTTAGTGGAACTTCATTACTTTGGAACCATTGGAACCGTGTTTTGAGTACTCCTAGACATCTTTCCTAAATATTCTCTATATCAGCAGAGCGATATGACTGAAAATTTGTTTCATCAGACAATGTTTGCTGGAAGAAGCCAGCTCTGAATATAACACTTTGCATTGTTTTGGTTTATGAGAAAAAGCTATAGACTTCTACGTGTTATTTATTAACTCTGCATCTCAGTTGAGCTAAAGCAATCTAGTCTTTGAAGTGAACAGAAACAGAGCCCTCTTGGATACTTTTATTGAACATGACTCATGGAGAAGAGCTTGGCTCTGAGATGCACCAGGATTCTGTTGTTCTAACTTACCTAGAGGGATTACTAATGCATCAAGCAGCAGGAGGCTCAGGTACTGCCGTTGACAAAAAGTCCACTGGGCATAGTGGAGAGGATCAAAACTTTAAGATTTCTGGAAATATATTCCCCAGCTGTCAAAGTAATGGTCAAGTTCTTAACCCAAATACATATCAGGGATCTGGCATGCTGCATCTCAAAAAAGCAAGACTGTTGCAGTCTTCTGAAGACTGGAATGCAGCAAAGAGAAGGCGGTTGTCTGATTCCATTGTGGATTTAAATGGGAAAAAGGAAGCTTTGTTAGCTGGCATGGTTGAAAATGTGCCTAAAGGCAAACAGGATAGCACCTTACTTGCCTCTTTGCTTCAGTCATTCAGCTCTAGGCTGCAGAGTGTTGCTCTGTCACAACAGATCAGGCAGAGCCTTAAGGAGCAAGGGTATTCCCTTAGCCATGATTCTTTACAAGTGGAGAAAGATTTAAGGTGCTATGGAGTTGCATCTAGTCACCTGAAGACTCTGCTGAAGAAGAGCAAAGCAAAAGACCAGAAGCTAGACAACAGCCTGCCTGATATAACAAAAAACTTGCCCAAAGAGAGGTTTATAGAATCTCCTCATGCAGTACAGAGCGGACCTAAAGTGATAAATGAGCCACTGTCATGTGCTGCAAGATTACAAGCTGTTGCAAGCATGGTAGAGAAACGATCTAGTCCTGCAGCTTCACCTAAGCCCAGTGTAGCATGCAGCCAGCTAGCTTTACTTCTTTCCAGTGAAGCTCATTTGCAGCAGTACTCCAGGGAACATGCTTTAAAAGCACAAAATGCAAATCAAATAGCAAGTGAGAGACTTGCAGCTATGGCCAGATTACAAGAAAGTGCCCAGAAAGACGTTGGCCAGTTCAGTTTATCAAAAGGAATGACAAGCCATCTCAATGGTCAAACCAGACCATCAACCAAAACAGTATCGAGCAAAAGCAATATGGCACCATTTCAGAATTCAGCGGGAATCATGCATTCGCCTCCCAAGAACGTAGGATACAAAAATAATTTGGAAAGGAGTAACTTGAAAACTTCTCCCAGCAACAGTTTGCTCCTACATCTCCTGAAAAGCCAGAATACCACCAAACAAGCAAAAGGGCATGAACAGAGTGAGAGAGCCAGCATTTTTGAAGACAGCAGCACACCAACAACTATTGATGAGTATTCAGACAACAATCCTAGTTTTACAGAAGATGACAGCAGTGATGATGAAAGCTCCCATTCTAACTGTCTTCCTATAGACTTATCCTTTAAACAGAGGACAGATAAACTGGATGCAGGTCCACCTGCATCACTGGATAACCTGACTCAGTCCTTACTTCATAACTGGGATCCAAAAGTTCCTTGTCCAGAAAACAAGGAAGACAAAGACACTCCGAAGGCTTCTAAGTTGAATCCCCATCAGAAAGTAACACTACTTCAGTTGTTACTTGGGCATAAGAGCGAAGAAAAGGCAGACAAAAGTAATGACTCTCAGGGACCACACGGTGCAGCTGATGTGGCAAAATTCACTGTACAAACTGGTAAAAGGACTCCTGTTGCAGACAGTCCCAGTACAAATCGAATGACTCCATTAAGCACTCCACCTTTACTTGTTTCTACAAAAGCAGACTCTCCTATAAATCTCTCGCATCAGTCGTCTTTAGCCATGAAGCGTAGTTCACCACCATATGCCTGTAGCATTCAGCCGGACAGGGTGGTGAATCCTGCATCTAAACATTTGATAGACCTTTCTAAAAGCAAAGAAATCCAAGGAGCTAAGCTGACCAGAAACGATAGTCCACAGAACTCTTCGGCTTTCAGTGCCAGCAAGCTGTTGCAGAATCTTGCTCAGTGCGGTATGCAGACTTCCATGGCAAGCGACGAACAAAGAACCAGCAAACAGCTACTAGCCATGAATGCAGAGAAACCTGTAGGCTTAATTGATAGATTGAACAGCCCTCTGCTTACGAATAAATTGAGCACACATGAGGAAAACAACAAAATATTCAGTTGTCAGCCTACACCCACGGAACAAGGACTTCCAGGTTCAGAAATAGAAAATCTCCTTGAAAGGCGCACTGTCCTTCAGCTGCTTCTGGGCACTCCGAATAAAGGTAAAAGTGAAAAGAAAGAGAAGGTGCTTTTAAGAGATGAAAGTTCTCACGAACAGACAGATAAGGCTTTGAATGAGCAAATATTGACAGTGAAAATAAAAACTGAACCTTCTGAAGAATCAAATGTTCCTTACAATTCAAATGCACAACAAATACGAGAGTGCAAGGGTAACAAATTTCAAGGATTTGTTCATTCACTGCAGAGAAACACAGCTGCTTCTCCAGCATCTGAGGACTTGAAATCTGAGCCTCTTTCACCTCAAGATTTCTCTTTTTCCAAAAACGGCCTGCTAAGTAGATTGTTGAGACAGAATCAAGATAGTTACCCTGCAGATGAGCTGGACAGAAGTCACCGAAACCATGAGCTGACACATTTTGAATCAAAGAGTCTTTGCACACTACCGAAGAAGAGGAAACTTCATGCTGAGCCTTCGGAAAGTCCATTAAAAAAGATGAAAAGTAATGTGTCTGATGCTGCAAACAATCACGCTTCTCCGACAGAGGCACTCTATGGGCCTTTGCTTAACCAGCAAGAACTGAAATTCAACAGAAGCGATGTTGAATTTAAATATGCTGTAGGTCATGGTTCAAATAATGAAAGTGAAAATAGGAGTTGGTCTAGAGATAGTAAAGGCTTTAATGTGTTGAAACAGCTGCTTCTGTCAGAAAACTGTGAGAGAGATCTGTCACAACATAGGAATAACATACCAACTGACGGCAAGAAAAAAGGAAACAAAAACAATGCAACAATTAATAAACCTGAATTCAGCATTTCTTCAGTAAATGCATTGATGGGAAGTCCTGTGCAGCAGAACAGTTGTGTAGACCATAGAACATTTCAGTATCCAGTAGCAGTAAAAAGTCCCGCCAGTTCCCCCTTCCCTGAACATTTGGGGAGTACAGTATCTAGACCTGAATCTGACCAGTTTAGTGTGTGTCCCATGCCCAGTGAAAAAGGTCCCATCAGATGGGTTATCACAGGTATGGACAAGAATGATTACGAAAAAGAATCTCCAAGACTGACCAAAACCAATCCAATATTGTATTACATGTTACAGAAAGGCGGCAACTCTGTTAGTAGCCAAGAAGCACATGACAAAGACATTTGGAATGAACCTTCATTTACTGATAGTTCAACTCGTGTTACAATCAAAGAGGAGTTAACATCTGATGCAGAGCTTAAAAATCCTTTTAATAACTTACGAAGTCCTTACAACAGCCATATGGGGAGTAAGACCTCTCATCAGCATGGTGTGAACGGAGAAGTGCATGGACTTTTGGAAAAAGTGCTAACAATCAAAAAAGAGCCAGAATAAAATACAGCCTGCCAATGAGTTTACAATCAGTGGTTTTGAATCTTTGTTTAAAAAAAAAAAAAAGAAAAAAGAAAGAAAAGGAAAAAAAAAAGAGTACAAACTTGAATACTGTATAAATTGAGCATGATTTGAAAAAAGCATGGTCTAATTGAAACGTTTTCATTTGATAAACTTTTTATTTTTCTGGTGATGTTATTTAAAATACATGTAGATAAAAATTGCTTTATAATAGATTGTCACAAGGAAACTAGAAAGGTTGTAATTTGTATGAGACATTTCTGTATGCATCAAATTAAGTTATGGGTACTCTTTGATCCAAGTCTTACCTGGATCTGTGAGTCTTTGGCATAACAAAGTGTAAGCGTACAGCCTAGGTGGTGGTAATGCTGCGTTTCCTCCCTCCCCTGTAAAATAATCCTTTTTTTTTTGGGAAGCCTAAGCATAGAGACAGTGTACTTTTTTTGAATGTTTAATATGTTTTGTGACATTTTAAGAATAACTTTTAAGAACTGGAGCAGTCCGTCCAAGGTATTAGCTCATCATATTGGAAAACCTATGTCAGTGTTAATAATTGATATGCACTGAAATGTAATTTTTAGTGCTTCCAAATTTTTTATTGTTGTTTTAAAATCTTGTTTGTGGTCCTTACAGAATAGTGGTGTAAGATCTACTTTTTTTCCCTTGCCCTGCTTTTGAGAAACGCCTTCCTCAGAATCCTTAGCTGTAGTTATAAGTTCTTAGCTATCATTAAAGTTTTTCCTAGTTTTTTTTTTATATAAAAGGTAGATTTTCATATACCATGCAAGTACTGCATGAGTCTCTTTTTGGCTTATTCCTGTCCCTTCCCTGCTTAAAAGGGGAAAGTCAAAATGTCTCTTGGAGTACTGGGACTAAAAAAGCCTGTCACATTTATTTAGTGAGGAAAATGATGGAAAGTTTGTGAATCAGATAACCAGAATAGTTTGCTCTGCACCATCTTGCTTCCTTTACAGAAGAATACCAACAGTGTAAAAGTGGCGCATCTGACTTCCACTCAAATATGGAATAGGATTTCACTGACAATTTGTTGGCTTCTTCCTACAACTAGGGAAAAGAATCCATATTCTGCCAATATTTATTACTCTCCAAACAGCTGATACCTGGTTTAATGCACTACCCTTTCATTGTAGAAAACCTGCTTTTAGACTCATTTTTTCAGGTTATGCAGAAGATAAAAATTGTAGTTTTGTCATGTTCTGTGATGGATAGTGGGATATGTCTCAGAAATGCCCTTCTGCCCTCTTCCTCGATCCCCACCTGTGCTGTGATTTGTCACATCTGGCAATATCAGCCTGCGCTGGAAGTAACTGAATGTTGCAGTCAAAACTGAGGCACCATAAAAGAATTGCTGACCGGGGAGAGACAGGCAGCACTGCTTTCCCTGGAGTCAGTGTTAACTCCATGTGGAGCCCTTAATTCTCGTGAGGGAGGGGAAGAACAAAATCCAGTTCCTCTAAGTTACATGCATTATTAGTAACTATAAGTTTTGCTGAACTTTGATCTACCCTCCTGAAAAGATGTTCTCTGTAGCTTTAGACTTCACCACTAATTCCCAGTGTTATCAGAAAACAGTTCAGATTTGGTTTCGCAGAGACATTCTCTTTTTTTTTTTTTTTTTTAAATTTTGATCATTTTCACCACTGAGAGCTGATGACGTGACAGAACGTTGTTGTTTCTGTTCATCTCATGTTTGCATAGGAGAAATGAGTGATGGGGCGTTTTGCTCTTTTCCTTTCTGGTTTCGTTTCACAGATTCTTTCCCCAGACTGTTGCCTTGCCTAGACAGAGCAAGCTTTTTTTCCCCCATCTCGTCCCCTGCCCCCAGTCTTGATCAGTTTGCCTTCTTTCCAGTGCAGTCCCTCTGAAAGGGACTTCTCTCGTCTGCCAGCTGGCTAATAATGCACCACTAGTCTATTTTATTCTCTCGGGGGATACCTTCTTTTAGGGAACACAAATATTTGGCAGTATCGAATATAGAACATTCCCCCTGGTTTATATGAGAAATAACAGAGCAATTTAAAGGTATATTTTTATGTTATTTGGGTGAAGTGTAATATATTAATGGGCTGTACAAAGAAGATTTATATTTTAAAACCTTCACACAAATTTAATGTCATTTTAAATGTCATTGTCGGAAGTATAATATAAAAATAAAATTTTGTTTGTCTTTAATATTTGCATTTATAAGTGGCCCGGTGACAATTCAACTGTGTCGTAGAATAATCATTAATGAGATAAAGTATATTTTAGATTGACAGTGACAATGAATTCTTTTTATATGAGTCAACCCAGCATAAATATTAAAAAAGATGGTATTTGTTCCATCCATTAAATGTCTCTTAAAAAGTCTTAATCGATTATTTTTCTTGAAACAACATGTATATAGTTAGGAAATATATACAATATAGAATAATAGATGGTCCCCAGAGTAAATACAGGGCTACAATTTGCTTGAAGGGCTCCACAGAAAAAGCAGTTTGAATGGGTGTGAAATAATGCAGTTGGAAACAAAAAAAATCAGCTGAAAAGTAGGGAACACTGTCTATCTAACCCTAACAAAAAGTAATACTGGAGTCCTAGGAGTGTGCTTACCCATGTATTTATTCCAAGGCAGTCTATTGTTATAATATATACTTTTGAACATTTAGTTTTTAAAACTTTATAAAACATTTAAGTTAAAATGTTAATTGCCACACAGTTTTATCAGTTAATGGTTTAGCCTTTCCTTGTAGGTTATATTATTTAAAAAAAGGGATATTACAATTCTCACAGATGTCAGTAAAGCATAACAAAAATTTACACAAAAATTTAATTTCAGGACATGCTCTTCATAGGAGAATCTTACCTGTTGTAGACCTGGCAATCTCAAATAGTGTGTAACATACTACATTAAGGCCCTTGAGAGGTAGATGTGCTAATCTGATGCTCTTCAGTCAGCCACTGGGGGGGGGGCAGGGGCAGCTCTCTTCTGTGTTAAATTCTTCTCCCTCAGAAAGAGCATTCTTTCTAAATCTGCTCCGTCCACAATTTATAGCCTTTAAACCTGAGGCTTTTTCATATCTCTCTGTCTCTTTCTCTTTTTTTTTTTTTTTTTTTTTAATCTTGCAGCCTCGATGAGCAGGAAAGTATCACCCCCATTTTCCCTGGGGAGTTTTCCTTCTCAGTTGTCCCATGGGAAAAGGGGGTGCAGGAGCTGGATTTGCTGCACCAGCAGAGGGACTAGTAGGGCTGGCTGCATTGTCCCAAGCAACCCAAAGATCCTGTATTCCCACGGCCCCTGTAGGATAAGTGACAAGCCAAGGTCATTTGTGCAGAGTGCTGCTCTGCATCCTCAGCAACTCCCATCTCCTTGGTTCAGTAGACATTTACTCCTAGGAGATAATGCATTTCAGCTGTCCCCAGTATGCTGCCTCAGACTGTGGGAGTGGAGGCTTCAGAGATGCAGTCTGCAAACAGGAGATTGACATTTCAGCTGGGCTGTTAGGCTATAGACTTAAACAGAAACGATGCGATATCTGACTTGGCAGCAATATAGCTGTGTAGGCAAGAGGTGCAGGACTGTCAGAGGCTGTTGTGCAACCTCACCATCGAGCGAGTTGGGAGGGAGAGGAGGAGATCACATTGCAGTTGTATTGGGGAGAGACTGCTGGGGGAAAGCTGCCTCCTCCTCAGGGAACAGTGAAAAATCGAGTTAGGGATGTGTTTACACCACTGTTAAAGATGTAATTGCAGCCCTTTAGGACTTACCCCTGAGCTAGCTTTAACCTCACTAGCAGAATAGCTGCAGCAGCAGTGGTTGTGAAGTGCCCAATGCCGTGCTCCAGTTTGCATCTATGCGGATGCTTACGCTGCTTCAACTACCCTGTTGGTGTAGCACCCAAGCCAGGTAGATTTCAGAATTGACTTGCAATTGCCACACAGACATACCTTTTGTTTCCAGAGGGACTGAGATAGCCAGGGCAATTTCTAGTGTCTCCTCTGCCAAAATTTGAGGAAATAAGAGGGAAGTAACACATGACCACAGCATCAAAGCTGTTTTGCCAGAAGGCTTCTCTAGTGATGCCATCTATCCCATCAGCGCAGTTTGAGAAGTTCATAAACATTACAAAATCAAAAGGGAATTCAGCCATAACTTTCACTTTTTTTAGCCATTTCTTCTTAGTAATGTTTTTAAATTTTTAATTTACAAGTGTTTTTAAAAGAAAGAAATGAATGGTTTAAATTTTCCCTGTTAAATGTTGGTGAAAGTATTACAGCTCTCATTGACGTCAGTGATATGATATTACCAGTTTGTTCTCTGCCACATCTTACAGAGGAGTAAACTGGTAAGTATATATTATATATATTTATATATAATGTAAATATATTGACTTGTTACACCTATAATATGTTGAAATTGGTTTTTAAAAGGTGATGTAAATAGTGGTTTCCTTAATGAAAAATACATATTTTGTATTGTTCTAATGCAAAGGAAAAAAACCTTTTAATCTTTTTTGTTATGTATATTCCATGTATAAGTGTAAATATGATCACATAGGTTTAAAAACTTTTGCATGTATGTATACAGTTGCAAGTCTGGAAGAATGTATAGAAAATACTTTTATTTAAAGTTGTGATTACCTGCTGCATGAAAAGTGCATGGGGGACCCTGTGCATCTGTGCGTTGGCAAAAATGTCTTAACAAGTCAGGTCAGTTCAAGACACAACAGTATTCCACTTCTGGACATGACTTCTGCTATGGTATTTTAGCTTTGTGAAAGAATGTGCTTCAAATCAAAAGGGTCTGGGAAAAAACTCAAAACTACTTTTAAAACATGAAGAATTCATACAACTATAATCAGTCATATAAGTTCAGGACTCCACTTTACCTAAGTGAAATATTGTACCAGGACTATTCCATTATTGTAAAACAAAGGAATATTGATTTTCATTGCCATACATAAGAATCTGGGGATTTACCACAACCAATTTTATTGTGATGTGTTTTCAGTAATTAATCTAACTGGTTTCATTTTTTTTATTAGAAATTAATTTCCTCATGTGATGTCACAAAACTGTACATACTGCAGTGTGAAGTTTTTTTAAATCTTTCAGTGTTTACTTCCTGCAGGAGATTTGAATAAATGAGAAAAATGCATTGTCTTGATGGTTTTTAAATCTGCTTTATTTCATGTGTATTTTCTATTACTGGAGCGTTAGTAGGCTATAAGTAACATGGCTATTAATACAAATTTATGACAACAAAAATAAGGGATTTTGGGGACACTACATATATTTCAACAAAGGAAACTAACTGAAAAATGAGAATCATGGAGCTGGAAATGAAACAAGCTAAATCAGATTTGCAGTTTTACTTTACAAAGTACTGTATTATGTATTAGTCAGATAGCCGCCTTTATTTACTTGAAATCACAGGTCATAAACTGGAAGTCTTTACATGGGAATATTTCCGTGAGAATTGTTTAAAATATTGAAGCATTTTCAAGACCTCTGTGCAGGATTATCTTTGAGCAAAAAAGGCGTGTTTTCCCATGAAAACATACTTTGGCCCATGTCACAGGGAGGACTTTTCTGTTGCGTTCTACTGAAATTCTTATGCAAACAGTTGAAAAATGAGCATAATTTGCCCATGAAGACTAGACAAAGATTGAACAGCACACTTGCCTCGTATTTTGCTGCTCCTAAATTAGATTACAACATCAGTGCAGTTTGTGTTTTTCCAGAGAATTTGTGTTTCACAGATGCGTAGGCACAGTGTGTCTGGAGCTGTACAGTTGCACGCAAGTAACTGGAGCATGTCTATCTTGGGTAACAGTATAGCTATTTTCATGAGTCCTCCCATGTTTTCCCTCTGATCTCTTCAGACAACAATAAGTACGTATTAATGGAATTCTCGGGAAGCCTTCTGGAAAGTATAAATTGTATTCCATAAAGTTAATTTAAAAACAATAATCCTAGCTCCATAGATTTCAGATAGATCTTCATAATACATGTAACCGAGCATTTTGACTGTTATTGTAACTGATATGCTGAATTGAGTTGACTAGTATCCAAAGTTGAATAGGATCTGGAGACCAACGGTCTTTAGGATCTCTTTGGCTATCTTGTCTTAAAATACTTGCGTGCATAATGCTGCCACTGATATTCAGCCACTCTTTGGAGGGAAAAGGCCCTTGCACCCTGCTTCTGCTCAGCCTCTTCTCTCTGTAAGTAGACTTATACCTGGTTTGAGGTTTGAATGGCTAAGTCAAAGTACAGCCCTATAAAAATGCAGTGTGCTTACAGAGCCAATCTGAACTTCTAATGACAATGTAGCTTGAAAATCATTTCAGAAATAGATGCTTCCCCACTGAAACGACTCCTTTAATTTTGATTCTACCAACTGAGCAAAAGCAGCAGTGTATCTTTATTTCTGGGGTGATGGTGCCTCCGGCAGTTTCCCTGGGGCACCTGAGTATCACCCAGCTTTTCCGTTTGTTACTCAGGGAATTCAGGCTCTTGTAGCTTTAGTGTGTTTAGTCAGTATGCATTGTAGCACTAAGTGAAACTTGCTTTGTGTCTACCAGTAGCAAATAGGCTTGTGGAGTGAACGTATGGTATGTTAAACAGTCTTCGGAGTGACAGGAATGTTGAATGGATATAAGAAACATTAACAAGTAAATGCTAACAACGTTTGCCTAGTGATTCATGACAAAATTCCCTCAAAAATGCCTCCAACTGGCAGTGAACTCTGCAGACGGACCTGTGGTGATGCAGAATCCTCTTGATCTCTAGTTTGTTCCTCACAAAACAAAAAGATGCATCTGAAGATGACACATCCCAAAACAGCCACTGGATAAAGAAATGAAGGTTTTTGCTTCAGAGATTTCAAAATGTGGTAAGCATATATGTGTGTGTGTATTACACACACGCACGCACACACACACACACACACACACACACACACACACACACATTATCTCAATTGCATTTGTGAGACTTTACAGCCTAATCTTAAGCTCCTCAATGAAACCAACACTGTGGACATCAAGGACAGATGAGGGATGTGATGGTAAGTCATTTGCAAGACACTGTATTGGACAAAACCTTTACCACAGTGGCCAATTTGTTGCAGTAATAATAAAAACACTCATCTTAATATAATAATACAATTTAAAGAAAAAGATTTGTGGTTGGCTTTAAGCATTTTCAAGGAGAAGTAATCTTGCAACTGAAGAGTACAACATCATCTTTTCATATGAAACTGCTTAGCACATTGGAGATGTGTAATGCACCCATGGGAATGTGTGTAGGGACTTGACATGGCTCAGACATGAAGGTAATAGTTGATGGAAATACTTTTATTTCCTTTTGATTGTCAGAGTGACTCAGAGGGAGCAGGATGAACTCAGGACATCAAAATTCTCTCTGCTGATGAACTTGAGAGCCACCAATGAAGGAGCATATGCTGATCTGAGCTCACAGCAGCCCACTTCCATTTGGCTTTTTAAGGACTGCTTGCTCTTAATGAATAAAGAGATTTGTCACTATCTCCAGATGACTTTTCTGATTAAACTACTCAGAATTTAACTGAATGCAAAATGATCATTATTGACTTGTGACTGTGCGAGTTAGATAAGCTTGAAGCCTGCCTCCACGATTGAGCTCAGCATGTGCTTTCAGTGCATGTTAGTGTGTTGGGGAGAGATGAAGAAATTATTTCCTGGCGCTCTTCACGATGTTAGATGATTCTTGATTCTCCTTGCTCAGTCAAGTTCGGTGAGGTGAGGTACTTCACTGCTAAACGTGAGGCAAACTAGGCTATTCTCCAAGTCTGTAGGAGCCCTCTGGCCCCAGCCTTTACTCAAGCTGGTGTTGGCTTTGAAGTTGTACCCTTGCGCACTCAGGAAACATTCTTTTGAAAATTTGACTGTAGAGCTCAAAGGTGACTTCTGCAAATAAGTCATGGGTAGCCACTGGGACATGGAGGTATCCAATCTGTTGCTGGGTCGTCTTTAATATTTGCCTGTCTGCACCTTTGTAACTGCAGCAAAATGTCATTGTTATCTGAGTTCTGCCTGAACAGACCCCACATCCAAATCTCATCGCTGCTACTTAAACAGAGAGAAACTATAAGCTTTAAGCATGTTTTGAGCTGGTTGCCCTGATACAAGCAGTGTCTAATATTTTCATGAGTTGGAAAAACTTTACGTAGGGTCATGTGAAAGATGGAACAGGAAGTTCCTCTAATGCCTCTTTGCAGTGTTTCAGCAGAGACCAAAAAAAGCTACTGCTGAGAAGCAACTCCTTGTCAAAAGCACTGCAGCCAGTTCCTGCTACTTTCAGCTCGCTTCTAAGACATGCCTAGATTTTCAGTATGGAGAGGGGAGAGTCTGTAGTATTTTAAGGGGAGAAGAAAGAAAAAGAGGAGAGTCTTAGGACAGCAAGCTACAAAGACATTGTTCCCACATGCCTTTTAATTTTTAATGCTACCTCGTTTTCCTCCATTCAGTGTGGTCACAGGGAGGAAGTCTCCATTAGTATCTGAAATAATTAGACAGACCTAGGAAACCAAAATCTCATGCTTCTATTCAAGTCACAGAAGGTGCACTAGTTATCTGTAGTTCAATAACAATGCTTAAATCTCTAAGCGTATAGATGCAAGTTTATAAATTTCCTAATCCAAACAAAACAAAAGAAGCCTTTTATTGAATTATGTGGAAGCAGCGATAGCTGGCTGCTTGATTTGTAAATATGTTTGAAAATTTGGAAGTTTAGCTAATCCTTGCAGGTAGCAATATCTCTCTCTCATGTTAGTAACTAACTCTCTTTCCCCCCTCATCTTCCCGATTCCTTTGAGTCCTTTGTCCTATTTTTAAACTACGTGGAAGCCCAGTCATCACCTGCAAAGGACAGAGGAGGGGAGCAAAACATAATATAACATTTTTGGACAAAAAAGCTGCTTTGAAGTAACCATTTGCCTAAGGTACTCCATTATGCATTGACTATTGAATGTTGTATCTTGCTTTTTCCTACTGTTAAGTAGGCATCACATAATGCCGACACACTAAGAGGGGTGGTGACCTCTAACTATGTCTACCGCAGTATATCTTTCCTTTATTTTAGAATGCTGCCTGCTGTGGCAGAAAGAAACAAAGTGTATGTTACAGAGCCATTTTCTTCCAAAATCTACTATTTAAGAATTTCGGAAAATGACACGAAACACAAAGGCCGAGTCCAAGGACAGAGTACGGAAAGGGCTATAAAGAAAACAAAAGAGAGGGAGTAACTTCTTTGGAAGCGTCCTCAGCGTGGTCCAGCTGGCAGCCTGTTGCCTGCTCCCATTCTGGCCCACCACCTGTTTCCCGGTGGGAACGCAGAATGGCAGTGCAGGCTGTGGGGAGCCAAGCGCTACCGTTTGTATGAGATGGGACACAGAGAGCTAGGAGTTGGTGGCTGCTGCTTTCGCTGGTAACAAAACAGTGGCAGCTGCTGATAGAAGAAGAGGAGGCACTGAACATCCCCCACTGCAAATGTTAACAGCCCAACGAGTCGTTCTGTTTTTGTGTTGCAGAGATTTGCAGTTATTAATTTAGAAGTGGAAGGAGTAACTGTCTAGAAACAGACAGCAGCTATTGTATTGAATACATCCCACTCTTTGAAGTTTACATAGGAAGTCTAAGGATAAATCTAGTTACATAAAAAAGACTGATTTCAACAGGTTTTTTTTGTTATTATCCTCCCACGTCTGCTTAGCACTTGGAAACTTGGTTCACTTTAGTAAGAAAGGTACTATTTCAGTTTTCCTGTCATCTTTCTCTCTCCTTTTCCATACATATTTATACTAAGCTTACACTAGAGAAATATGGCTTGCTATCCCTGTTTGATTTCAAAATATGTCTTTAATATACCACGGTTCTATGTGCAAAACATCTCCAGACAGTACCAGGAATCTCCTGCTTGGAATAGAAGCCTGTTCTGATGAAGGCTAACCATTGCTCCTCAGTGCCTAGACTGCTTGGAGTGCTAAGTATTAACGGTACTGATATGGGATCCTGATCATTGCATAAACTTCCGCCTGCTTCAGTTTCTGAATCTCCCGTTTGGGATCAAGGGGATACTGAAATCTTCAGCAATGGATCTAGCATGGGCTGCAGAAATAG